TCATCAGCATAGCCTATACTTGAAAAGACTGAATTTGCATAGTTACTGTGTTGTCTTAATACAACATACTTTCCAACTGCCTACCCTGGTCAGATAAAGACTATGCAAGGCAGCGTTTATATGTAGTATTTATAATGGATTACTTCACATTACAAAATAAAACTTGAAAGTGTGAATGCTATTACATTGGATTAGACATTCTTCAGTTTACAGCTGTAGCCACTTGCTCTATCTTGCAGGTCACAGAGCACCTGAGTAGACCAAACCCACCTGTGCTATCTTCAGACACAAATATTCTGATCAGGAGTTTGCTTCTTTCTTCTGCTATCTGTATTTTCCTGATCTTTCTAGGATAGTTGCTTTTCTAACTGTCCTCAAAGCTGAAGATGTGGGTATGAGGAAAGGATAGCCTTCAATCATTTTTAGGCCCTTCTTTCCAAGTCACGAGGGCAACATACAAAAAAACAGGCAATTGAGCAGTGGATGGTATGAGAATACAGATAGCAAGGTCTACAACTGAAAAACTAAATATGGGAAGAATCCCTATTGCACATAGCTCCTTCTCTTTTACTCCACTTACACTTCTATTAAGTCTGGGAGAGGGAGCTGTGAATCTTTGTCAAGTCACCATAAGACACAAAAACGCAGAGAGATAGTACACTTGTGTAAAATCAGTATGCTCTGACAACTCATTTATTACTGCCATAAATGCCCCCAGCAAGGACTGGACACCCTGTTGTCCAGAAGAAAGAATTTTTATTACAGAACATAAGTTTTGTATCTAAAATTTTATTTTTAACAAAACACTATATGCTGTGGTCTTCCTTCAGAAAAAGCCCTTAGTATCACAATGAAACCAAGCCACATGGATAAGCACACTGACATCTTACTCATACTAGAAGTGAAAGGAGTGGACGAGGCAGCTCCCAAGAGAGGCTTACACTGATCCTGGAATAACATAGTCCTCTGATACAAAGAAAATGTCGATACACGTTCAACAGAAAAGAATCTTCACAGAAGAATTTAGAGGTAGCATTTCACTCATTGAGGATGCAGGGCTTTTCTTGTGCTCAGAGGTGCTGAAGTAACAGTGAAGAGGGAATGCCATCAATTTATGGAAACAGAAGCTTTCTTGAAAAGGAAAAAAGAAAGATGTTCCCCACTGCCCATTTCCTTCACTAAGAGTCATTTTTTATAGGGCTCTTCTACAGACTGAAGACTTTTCAACTAGCCTGTGCAAGGCTCTCCAGCTCATTTCTGCAGAGGTAGTTTATTTTTCCCAGTCTAAGTTGCATCTACACAGGTGTTTTGACATCACCAGTGTGTTAAACTGTTGCAGTTTTCTTAGTGTCAATTAGCAAAATCTATTAACTTGCTAAACTACAAAGTTTACTACTAGCACAGATTTAGTCCCACATTATGTTTTGTGTTTAAGAGGTAATTGTTGGCAAAATAGTTTGTTTCTTTCCCCTTTTTACATAAAAGTTCATGATCCTCCTCTATCAGGAAAAAAATGTGTTACAGCATGAGACGTCACAGCTGAAGATTAAAAATAACTGACACCGTATAAGGTTTACCAGTACCATTAATAAGTTTTACTCCTTTTTAATTGTGAATTTTCAAGCAAATTGAAACACAAGTTTCATAACTGAAGGAACAGTGCCTGTCTTTGAATTTCATGAGCAGATAAATGCTATTTGCAACACAAAAGTTTGGAATCTCTTCCAAAGAGAGAAATGCAGAACTCTCAGATCTTGGTGAACAAAGCAACTAAGCAGCACTGACCTCTCGTCAAAATTGCACTGAAAATATATCCCACATACAACAAAAAACAGCTCAAAATGGTCCTTTTTTTTTTTTTTTTTT